AAAAAAAGATACAGCCTAGGATACTCTATCCAGCAAGGCTATCCTAAGGAGAGATAAAGAACTTCACAGACAAGCAAAAACTGAAAGAGTTTAGCAACACTAAACCCATGCTAAATGAAATATTGACAGGTCTACTCTAAATAGAAAAGAAGCAAGATGCTACAAAAATGAGAAACTCATAACTGGAAAGGAGATAACTGCCATGCATTACAAATAGGATAAACACAAAATTGTAAAAGAAGATATCTAAATCATTAAGAGTGGGAGAGGGAAGCAAGGAAAGCCACTGTGGAAGACAGTATGGAGATTCCTCAAAAGACTAGGAATAGACTTACCATATGACCCACGAATCCCGCTCCTGGGCATATATCCAGAAGGAGCCCTACTTCAAACTGACACCTGCACCCGAATGTTCATAGCAGCACTATTTACAACAGCCAAGACATGGAAGCAGCCTAGATGTGCATCAACAGATTACTGGATAAAGAAGGTGTGATATATTTATACAATGGAATACTATTCAGCCACAAAAACCGACAACAGAACGCCATTTGCAGCAACATGGATGTTTCTGGAGAATGTCATTTTAAGTGAAGTAAGCCAGAAAGAGAAAGAAAAATACCATATGCGATCACTCATATGTGGAATCTAAAAACAAACGAACAAACAAACACAAAACAGAAACAGACTCATAGACATAGAATACAAACCTGTGGTTGCCACGGGGGCAGGGGGTGGGAGGGGATAGACTGGGATTTTAAAATGTAGAATAGATAAACAAGATTATATTGTATAGCACAGGGAAATATATACAAGTTCTTGTGGTAGCTCACAGCGAAAAAAAAATGTGACAATGAATATATGTATGTTCATGTATAACTGAAAAATTGTGCTCTACACTGGAATTTGACACAGTATTGTAAAATGACTATTACTCAATAAAAAAAAGTTAAAAATAAATAAATAAATAAATAAATAAATAAATAAATACTCCCCTTTATGTGGAAAAAGAGTGAACCCAAGTCGAATAAAGATATCATCAAAAAATAATTGAGTAATTCGTTCACTCTGCACATTCTGTTCTGTAAGCATTGTAACATTTCCAGCTTGCATATTTAGTTGACAGAGATTTCAGTGCAATAGGGTTATTACTGCAAGAGCAGTGAAACTGATTGAAAATACGAAATAAATTTGAGATTCCTGTTCAGACTTAAACGGAGACATGAAATGCAGGGATCTCATTCTGTTTCTTTAATACAACTATTTTAATAATATTTTATATTATCTTTTTTTAAATCACTACATCTTTTCAGTTTTATCCTAAAACTATCCCTAGTCTATTACACAACTACTTTATCGTCTCTTGCTTTACTGTTTTTTGTCTAATCCATCTTTTTTTCTTTTTTGCACCATTCAAAGAATGTTGTCTGCAAGTTCTTTTTACAGACTAGACAGATTTTACGTCTCAGTGGCATTTCAAGGCAGAAGGATAAATTTTCGGTGATTCTGCCTTCCTACCCTATCCCAAGACATAATCTAGGGGATTATTTTGACTCCACACTTACAAATAAGAGCTAGCTTCATTCGCGATAATGTTGTGCTTCTTCGTTTTCTCTACTTTGTTATTTACTTGGCATATGATTTTAACTTCAGTTAAGACTATTTCCCTATGTCCATTATTATCTTAATACTATTTTACTAGTGTTGGTCTGTACCTCTGCTCTTTTATTTTCCTATACTTGTCCAGAGTGCTTTCTGATACTCTTACTTTTAAATTCAAATTTATTCACCCTAAGTTGGTACATATGTCTGACTGCTTCATTACGTCATTATGTCCGAAGCAGTTAAGTGTGGAGATACATATTTTTTACAATACACAACTTTCTTTTTATTTCTTCTTTATATACCAGTTAGGACGTTGTTTGTTTTAATTTTTGTGTAGGTAAGTTTTATCATCTATGAATTTTATTTCAGGTTAGTAAAGGAGGCATCATAAAATACATGTGATTCTATTGGGGAGATTGGGTCTAAAAGGACTAAGATCTGTTCTGTCACACAAAGAAATCTTGATGGACCTTGGGTGTTACATACCCTGTTCTGCAGTGTCCTGTTGTATATCAGCAGCCTGGATGTCTTGCTACATACATGAATGGAATAGGTTTTCTGTCATATTTCAGAGGATGCTCATCACTCATCTTTCATTCCATTTCATTTTAATCAGCACATATCTTGGTTTTCCTCAACTTTGCAGCAAGAGGTTCAGTTTATCTTGTAACATTCAGACATTTGAGATTCTTAGTGTTCTCTTTTGAAAAATATAAGATTTGCAGTCTAGTAATTCTTTTGTTCTTTTATTAGTTATCAACAGATTTGTGCAGCTTGATTTTTTAATCCAAGCTATCCTTTGTCCCCCTCCCTTCAAAAAAGCTTAGTGAAATAATAGACTTGAGTACAGAGTTTTATTTAGGCATATTTTAGATAAAGCTAAGTCTTGTCAAGTTGTGGCTTCTGTAGACATAACTAATGTACAGTGTAATAATATTATAGAAAAAGCAAAGTAGAGTAGAAATAAAACCTAGGTTTTTGATCCTGGACATTACTTACTATTTTGGTCAAGTAGAGCAGCTCCTCTTAGCCTTAGTTTTCTCATCTGCAAGTAGAGATATCTGCCCTGCCCATCTTTCAGGATTATTGTTAGGCTCAAACAACACAATGATGGCTAGGGAAATGTAAATTCTAAAATACACCGCAATAGTTACTGGATGAATTGGAAGGGGATTTGGAAAAACCTAATTCGCTGGCTAGACGGCCATTGAAATGGAGAGGAGATAGAGATCTCACCCGTGCACTGGAGATAAAAAAGTAGGGAGCATTGGCAGGACTTGGAAACCTATTTGAGTTGAGAGTGAGGGAAAGGAAAGAGCAGTTGAATCTGACAGTGGGAGGTTGGGGATCAAGAGGCATGGTAGGTAAGAAGGAAGGAAAGGGTGAGCTTCCTGTTGAGCATGCCATGTTTGGGATGCTGCTGATACACACAGATGGAGATGTCCAAAGGAATGTGGGCCGGGAGCTCAGAGAGTTCCGGGTTAGAGATTGGACTGGGAACACCCCTGTAATGAGGTCATGGGATGAGATCAGGTGGAGTCCAGGGGCGGAGCTTTGTGGAATGAATGTCTGTACTGATGAGCCTGCTGGGCTGGAAGAGGCTCTCAGACCCTGGTTCCGTAGTCTGCGACGTTGCTCTCCTGTAGAATATGGAAATGGGAGATGTACACGTATTGCTCTTACCAGTTCATGTATTAGGAAAGAGTTCCTTGGCATCTGATAAACTACTGGGTGAGAGTTACTCCTTAGGAAATGTCCCACAGACACACAAACTAAAAATGAACAAACAAAATACTGAACAAGAACTTGCATTTTGTTAAATAGCCTTTAGCCAAGTTAAAAAGCTGAATGTTCATTCTTCAAATTCAGTGCTGCTGGCAGACATTGCTCTATTCTTACTGAAAGGCTAGTTTATATGAAGTAAAACTAGTATTATTGATTTTTACTAATTCTCTTTTTCCCCCTTTTTTCTCTCTAGATTTTACATTGTGCAATAGGTAAGTATGGAATTTCTCCCTCCTTACCCCTGTCACTGGTGTACAGTAGATTCTGCTTTTTTTAAGTCAGATTTTTAATCAGATTCTGGTTGAATATTGAAAAAACCTAAACTGTTTAATCATTATATATAAAAGTTCTTAGGCTTTTGATTTCTAAAACCATAGATACTATTTAGATGTTATCACTGAACACTGTACTAAATGTCATAGCTGTTTTGCTCTGTCAATTTCAAGAGGCCTCTATTATGTTCTCAGTACAGGGGAAATAGAGAAACACTGGCATATTTATAAAAATGTGGCTTGGAGTGCTAGGCTTTGTTGAAAGTCCCCTCTGATCACTTAAATGTTATATTCTCTTTCCTTATCTCTTAAAATGGAGTACTGCTTGTATTGCCTACCTCCCAGATGAATATTTAACGTGTGAGAAGGACTGGAAAGTCTTAAGTATGAAGGGTTTTACCAATGTGAGGGATTTCTACTGAAAGCAGCTAGAATGTATTTCCATTTGGAGGGAAGGAGGACAGTCATCATATTCTGCCCCGGACCTGAGGCATGGCTTCTGGTCTGTGGTGGCTGGACTCCTAATCAAGCAGAAATCAGTTTTAAACAGTTGACGGACCCTGTAGAGTAAGCCCACAGTGGTTGCTGTGCATCACATTTAGCTCTCAGAGAGGGAATCTGAAGTTGGTACTCATTGAGAAGCACCAAAGGTCTGAAAGCTCTAGAACTATGCATTCAAACCGCCATGGCCCTGATCAACATAACTAACAAATTGAGTACTCACTGTGTTAGGGCACCAGAGAGCTCAGAAATGAGGAGGCTTACAGACCAGGTGGGCACACAGCAATCTGTCCACTATGGGTCTTGAAGGGGTGACATGGTACCTGGGCTCCACTACTTTTAAGGAAGACAGCACCTTCCTTATATAGGCTTGCACTTCGGCTGTTTTCCCACTAGAAGGAGGTCTACAATCAGGGATTTCTCAAATGATTTGTAGAATTTTGTTTGGTTTTTTTGGAAGGGGGTTAGAATTCATAGCTTTCATAGATTCTTGGAGTGTGTGATTCAGAAGGCTAAGAAGCTGCTTTAGCAAGAAAATCTCTTTAAGCAAGAGATTTGAAAGAAGCTTGGAGACTCATTTATCATATGGTCTGCTTTTCCAGAAAAGGGGAAGGGACCTGGGCAGGTCACACAGCTAGTAAATGGTGCAGCCTCGCTTGGACCCTGGCCAGTCTGAGCCAGAGCCGACCAGACTGACTGTACTTTATGGTGAATGGGTCTCAGCTAATGTATAGTCTCACATACATTTCCTTTTTAGTCCTTTATAGTTTTGAGGTGAAAAGTTTTGTCCCATCTTAAATGCTGAAATTTGCAGAATGAGGGAAATGTTCAGCCAGAGAGAGTTCTGGACCCATGTCAGGCCTTCTCCACATGACTGAACCCTGTGTCTGCATTCTCTCCCACTCTCTGAACTTTCACTGCCTCTGTATAAAGCTCTTAGATGCGTGTTTTCTGAGCATGTGTATTATTATTTTGTTAATATTTCATTGTATCTTAATACCGAGATTCCTTTTTTCTTTAGCATATGTTTTCATGCATTTGTATATAATTTCTACCCCTGAAAATAAAGTTTCTGACAAGTATATTTATTCATTCATACCAAGAACAAGATGGAATGCCTACCAGGTGGGGCCAGACACTGTCAGGCAGTGGGAATAGAGAGGTAGACAGGCACAGGCTTAGACTCAGGAAACCCACAGTCAAATGGGTGCCACTCTGAGCTCCTCTGGTGGGGTGCACTCTGAGGACTAGTATCCGTGTCACACTCTTCTCTGATGGTTCATTGACAGGTGTCCCTAGGGCTAAATGTGGTCCCTGACACCAAGGAGATGCTTGCTTTGAAATTCCTTCCTATTATCTCACGAACCTTGTTCCATCAGTAATTCTCTCTCATGCATCATCACCCTTTGTCACCTACCTTTTCCTTCTCAGCTCACAAGATGCTCAGAGTGCTCCAGCCTAAAAATTTGTGACCTAACCTTTGACCCTGTCTTCCTCCCCTGTTACTACGTAATTCCTTCGCATCCCTTTTACCAGATTTATGGTATTCTCTTTCCAATTCCACACTCCCATTTTTACCTTAACCCAGCAGGTGTGCTTCTGTCCCCCTTGTCCTGCTAAAATTGCCCTCTGGTCTAAAATCAGCACTTGTTTCTGTTAAATTTCGAAGACATATTTGGAGTTTACTGAACTTCTGAACTACATTGGGCACAGCTGATGACTGCTTTGTGACATCATGGTCCTTTAGCTTACATTGTACTGAGGCCTCCTTGGCTTTTCTGGTCCTCTGTGGTTCTTTACTTTCTCTGGGGGCTTCTTTTTCTCTCCTTGCCCCTTAATTGTTGGTGTTCCCAGGGTGTGGCTAGGCTCATTGCTCTTCTGACCGAACAGGCCCTCTGTGGGTGATCTCTTCCCTTCTCATGGTTTGAGATACTCATGACACTCACATCT